TGTAAATGTCGTGTGTGTGCGAAAGGGGGAGGGGGGTGCATGGATATAATATGGATAGAAAAGGAGAAAGGAGGGAGGGGTATGTAAATGGGGTGGATTAAAAATTTTTTTTTAGGTTTGGGGGGATTTTTCAAATTCAAAGTAATAGATTGCCTTCCCCCGACCCTCCCGTCAGGCACTAGCAGCTCGATACTCTCACAGGGCATGCCGGCGACAACAGTGATTACTGCTAGAATGTCATCTTGATTGACGTCACATGCTTGCCTTGTAGGAGCCGCCGGGGCAACAACACAGACAAAGGTCGATGTCTCCAGCGGGAGTCATGGCTGTCACGTGATTGCGATTTTTGTTTCTCCTTCGTTTTTGTTTTTTTAGGTATGTTGTTATTTTGTTTTTCGTCTGTTCTGAGCTCTCAACTAGTCTCAACTGCCTGGCTGGCAGGCGCTCTTGCGTTGTTTGTGCTCCTTCTTTTCTGTCAAACGTTGGTCCTTATTTCTCGTCTTTCTTTCATCTTTTCTTTAGTTTTGTTTTTCGTTTTTGTTTTTTGTTTGTATGTTACTTTCTAGTAACGTCTCTTCTCTAATATTCTACACTGGCTATAATAATATTACCTGATCATGTTGCAAGTGCCGTACATTTCGAACTGAAATGTGGGTGGTTGGCGGGTGCTCTGGTGTGGTTTGCTCCTTCTTTCCTCTTAAACATCTATTGTCCTTATCTCTCCTCCTTTTTTACGTTTGTTGTTATTCTCTTGTAACACCTCTAATCTTCGGCACTTATATGACCTTATTGTGTTGCAGGTGCCGTAAAACTCTTTACTAAAACTAAAAAACGAACTGAAATTTTAAACTAAACGGGTGGGTTGCATAGTGTTAGTGGGAGGGTCCCTCATAGCCCGCAGAGGATTGGTTACTGTCTGGCTGCAATGAAAACGATACCGCCAACTTGCCGCCAACTTTTGTTTCCCTTGTTTTGTTTTGTATTTTTTCGTTTTAGTTTCAGCCCTAATGTTACAATGCGTGTTCGTGTGTAATCTCCGTGTTTCGTTCAGGTCGAAATTAATTTGACGTAAAATTCACCATGCCTTACTATGGAGCTGTGTTATTCTGTTATCACTGCTTTTGACTCATAAAGTTAGAATGGAAGGCAGTGGGTGGTTGGCAGGTGCTCTTGTTTGGTTTGCTCTTTCTTTCCTTTCAAACACGTATTGCTCCTTTTTCTGCTCCCCTCCCCTCACCTCGTTTGCCCCCTTCCCTGGGCAGTGGGTGGTTGGTGTGTGCTCTAGTGTGGTTTGCTTCTTCTTTCCTACCCAACATCTATCGTCTTTATCTCCCCTCCTTCTTTTTGTGGTTGTTACTCTCTTGCAACACCTCTTATCTTCTTGCGCTCATATGACCTTATGCAGTTGCGAGGGTGGTAAAACCTCTACTAAAACTAAAAAACTTCCCTGGGCTCCTGAATCTTTCTGCAGCCTTTCTACTGCTACTATTTGGCTCTTTCTCATTACTGTGTTTCAGCCGCATTCCTAATCTTATGGTAGGTAAGATCTACACCTAGCTAGCCTTTTCTGATAAGGGTGAAAAAATCTCGGAGGTCTCGTGTGCAAGTTGCGCACGTTAAAGAACCCTTTGTGTTCCAAAACCGATAAGAGAAGGGTTTGGCCGTCACCTGGGCAAATTTCAAAATTTCCTACTTACTGAAAATGTTAAATGGGTCCCACGTGTATATATGAAAGTATGCAGTTGCGGGCACCATAAAACACTTACAACACCCAAACAAACAGAATGGTGACTCAGAGGTTATAATAATGTCAACTTTTGTCGGTGACAGCGCGATAGTGAGATGTGACTAGATGTTCAGTGTCAGCAAATTATTATGCGTGTATGTGTATATTTGTGTGGAAGAGTGTTTGTCTATGCGTGTGTGTATATCTGTGTGTGTGCTTGTGTGTAAAATATTGAACCTATATGCCAATATATCTATTATTTGGACAATAAAATGGGTCTTATATTGCTCTTTATCGAAACACATTGATCCTTGCTTAAAGACAGAGCTCGCTACGCATAGTGAAGAACAATGTTGTGTTTGTAAAAAAAAAAAAGTATCAATATTTGTTTTGTATTACGTATTTGATGATGTGAACATAAATTTTGAATTATTTTATGGATTAACAAATTGCACTTGCTTACCATTGCAACCTACCTGATCCCTCTGCGGGTGGTTGGGGGGTGCTTTTGGTTGGTCATAATCCTTATCTTTTGCTCTGCTGTCTCTTTTGCATTTCCCCTACACTAGACAACTGGTGGGTGGTTCGTGGGTTCTCTGGTGCTTTGTGCTCCTCCTTTCCTATCAAGCATCTATTGTCGTTACTTCTCTTTGCAATTTACTCTATAATAACACCTCTAATCTTTGGCACCGATGTGTTTTAATTGTTGTAGAACTTTCCAAAGCAATCCAAACTGGACCCCCCCCCCTTAGGGCGGTACCGCTGACTGAAGTGTCTTTAGGCCATTCCCAAAGGGGGGACATTTCTCGTTCATGCACAGTAGAATTGTGAATGGGCTGATTCATCAATGTCACGCTCATAACTGGTCTACAACAGGGAACTGCTGCTTTTTCTTTCCTAATCCTTACTGTCGTCATTATTCCTCTACTTCTTTTGTATATTGTCACACTCTTGTGACCCACTATTTCCGGGGTGCCTTGATAGTCGAAGCAGACTTGGTGCTGTTGATGCTAGAGAGGTGAGCAGAGTAAGCCGATTCCCTGTGAGGACTTCTCTGTTGACATCCACCCCTTGGCGCTCATATTACCTTATGCAGTTGCGAGCACCGTAAAACCTCTACTAAAACTAAACAACTGCTATTATATCCCAGTTCTTCTATATCCTCGAACAAGCAAACCCTGGAGCGAAATTTAGAAGTAGCATTTGTGGGTGGTTGGTGGGTGCTCTGATGTGGTTTGCTCCTTCTTTCCTATCAAACATCTATTGTCTTTCTCTTCCCTGCTTTTTGTGTTTGTTACTCCTTTGTAACACTTTTAATCTTCGGCATTTGTATGACCTTATTGTGTTGCAAATGTCGTAACAATCTTACGAAAAAAAGTAGTAGTATTTAATTTTACTTCAATTATTTATTTATTTTATTTCTTTTCTTTTCAGGAGTTGGAGGGCGATTTCGACCAGTGCGCTGTGTGTATCGAGCCCTACAAGCCGCAGGATGTGATACGTATTCTGCCTTGTCGGTAAGTGGACTCTTCGACTGACATTTGACATAATAGATTGCATTTACATAGCGCATATCCACTTTTGTCTGCTCCTGAGTGCTACGTATGGTGTTTTTTCTTCCGTATCTGCCATTTCTCTGTCTGTTGGGACACCTAGGCTGACTTTGGAAATGAGAGATGTCTATTCTCGCTACTTTTAAAACATAATTTTTCTTTTTCTTTTTTTTTCTTTAAAAAAACCCACACTATTCCGACTGTGCAAAGCAATATCAAACTGTGAAGTGTCTGCTCCAAAGTGCTAATTCCCAGTGCACGCGTTCAATGTTTCTTCATCACAATACGATATATACGAGTGAATTTAACTAATTACTACTGTGACCTTCAAAAATCAAATTGGTTTGTTTTTCTAGGTCGTGAGTCGCATCGTTCGTAGTATTGTGCCAACATAGTAGCTCTCGTCCCATCCATGAAAAAAAAAAACCCTACAAAAATCTGGCATGTCCCGACTCGGTTCGATGGATCCGACTGGCAGTGTGCACTGGGTATAACGAGTGTTGTGGTAGGGGGTCTCACATCCCCACGTGTCTGTCATTTATTATCTTTTCTGTGTGTCTCTGTCTGTCAACATCTGGTGTCTTTGTCTGTCTTTTATAAAAAGAATTAATTTCTCCCCCCCCCCTCCTTTCTTGTCCTGCGCAGTCGATTAGAGGGCGCAACTGATAGGTCCTGTGTCGTTCGTGTCTTCCTTGTTTTTTCCCTCTCACTAAATGGCCGTTGTTGAGTAGATGTGCGTGTGTGGGCTGTTGACGGGTGCTCTGGTGTGATTTGCTCCTTCTTCCCTTTCAAACTTGTATTACCCTTCTTATCTCTCCTCCTTCTTTTTGTGTTTGTTACTTTCTTGCTGCAACACCTCTAATCCCCCCCCCCCCGGGGCGATGCCACTTTAGGCTATTCCCAAAGGGGGGCTTCTCTCGTTCTAATGCACAGTAGAATTGTAAATGAGCTGATCCAACAATGTCATGCTCATAACTGCGCCTAAACTACATAAGGAAACTGCTGCTTTTCTTTCCTAATCCTTACTTTCGTAATTTTTTCCTCTACTTCATTTGTATGTTTGTCACACTCTTGTGACCCGCTATTTCCGGGGTGCCTTGATAGTCGAAGCAGACTTTGTGCTGTTGAAGCTAGAGAGGTGAGCAGAGTAAGTCTGATTCCCTGTAAGGACTGCTCTGTTGACATCCACCCCTTGGCGCTTATATGACCTTACGCAGTTGCGAGCGCCCTAAAACCTTTACCAATTCTTAAAACAGTGGGTGGTTGGCGGGTGCTCTGGTGTGGTTTGCTTCTTCTTTCCTATCTAACATCTTTTGTCCTTATCTCCCCTTCTTCTTTTTTTATGTTTATTACTCTCTTGTAACACCTCTAATCTTCTGTCGCGCATATGACCTTATGCAGTTGCGAGCGTCGTAAAACCCTCTACTAAAACTAAAAGCTTAAAACAACATCCATCCATCCATCCATCCATCCATCCATCCATCCATCCATCCATCCATCCATCCAACCATCCATCCATCCATCCATCCATCCCTCCCTCCCTCCATCCATCCATCCATCCATCCATCTCCCTTTCGTCCACCGATCTGTTCTTCAGTCCAGCCATTCATTTTGTCGTCCAGTCTAGTCCGTTTGTATCTTTATCACGCCCACCCGGTCATCTTTCCATTCATCTGTCCACCTACTCAACCTTTCGCCCACCTTCGATCTGTGGGTTGTTGGCGGGTACTCTGGTGTGGTCTGCTCCTTCTTTCCTATCAAACATCTATCATCCTTATCTCTCCTCCTTCTTCTTTGTGTTTGTTACTCTCTTGTAACACATCTATTCTTTGGCACTTATATGACCTTATTGTGTTGCAAGTGCCGTCAAACTCTTACTAAAACTAAAACCTCCTCTCCGCTCATTCATTTGTTTCATTCATGTTTCCAACTGTCCATCCTCCCACCCTCATACTCGTCCAATCTTCCCTGCCTACAATTCATCTATTCATTCATCCATATACTACTACACCATCACCTAGTGCTTATAATTTATGTTATGCCACCCACACTTTGAATCACCCATTGATCCATCCACATCTGTTTCCAAATATTCATTTATCCATCCATCAGTGTCTAAATCGACTCACTCCCCCCACCATCCCCACGCGTGCGCCCACATAGACACGTACACACACACACACACACACACACACACACACACAC